TATGTAAAGGTACAATTCCCAATGAGAAATGTAATTGTGTTGTATACCTACAATGTACCAATAAAAGAATTTAATAAAAAATTTTAAAAAGACTCACCAATTAAAAGTATTACAGGTCCTTCTTGCCTCAAACACAGTTGGATGCGACAAGCGAAAAACAGTGCCAAAAGTTTATTTGAAAAAAGAGGGATGAAGGTGTCAGGGAAAAATTGGCTCTGTAGAGCAAACTTGGGCTAAACAAAAGAAAAGATAAAAACAAAAATAAAAGTGCCCACTGTGTGGCTCCTCATAGTGTCTGGTCTCCTTTATGCTGTCCACATTTTGTGGGAACCCAAGAGAAGTTCTACATTTGGGGACCTGAGAATCATCTGGCACTGCCCTGGGATTTGCAATAGACAAGTGCTGCCCATTTCCCCAGCCAGCTTTGCCACACCCTACCTCTTATAGCATGTCCACTGTGGGCCTTATCTCAAACTCCTTCCCACCCAAGCCATATTAGTGTTCTCTCTGCTCTGGGGACATACACTGGTCATCCCTACATTGAAATCTTTACACATGCCAAAACCCTCTTCTCAGGATTTCCTGTGGGTGGCTCCTATCATTAACTTTGTAGCTCAAGCATTACCTCCTTGCAGCAATCTGTTCGGCACATCTAAATCACCTACATCTCTTCATTCCTCTCCAATCTGAGACATCACTTCATTATATTATCTTTTTGTACAGATATAACTTGGAACATTTTCTGGTCATGATTTGTTTGTAATTGTTAGAATTGTATAATTTTTAATTGTATATTTATTTATAATTGCATAAATTATAATTGTATAATTTCTTTGTAACTTTACTGTCACCTACTCATTTACTCTCAATTCTAATGTAAGCTCTGTGGAAATAAGTGTGTGTCTTGATCACTGCTGAATCCCTGCATCTGTAATGATGCATAACATCCCCTAGCCTTCTGTAAGCAGAAGTGTGGGAAATGAATGAGTGCATGGTTAAATAAATAAATTTTACTTTCCAGCTAATTTTCGATAAGGAAGGCTGTGGTGTATGAGATGCAGTTATATCCCCACCATACATTTTCAACACAGAAAGAAGCCATTGTCTTTTCCACAGTGGCTACATTTTGTGTCTTTCTCTCTATTGCCTCCTGGCATGTCCTTTGCACTGGGGTGCTCTGAAAAGAGGAGGAGGCTCAGCTATGCTTCATAAAGAAAAGTCATCTGAATTAGAGCACAACCTAAAGCAAAAGGGTTCACTGGGTTCAATGGAATCAAGGGTCAAACATGTTTAGATTAGATACGTGGTCCTTGAACACTGGCCATTTTCAGAGAGGCCGCTGAGGGAGTTCACAAATAATTCAGTTGGGGGGGGTCTTGTATCTGGAATTTGAGAGTGGGGAAGTTTGAAGTAAGGATCAGAAATCTGAATTATTTTAAAAGTTTCCCAAGAGATTCTGACGCTTCACTAGGACAGGGAACTCCTGATTTGTCTAGGCCAGAGATGATGAACATTTTAGAGACTGAGTGCCCAAACTGCAACCCAGAACTCACTTATTGATCACAGAGTACCAACACTGCAATTAAACCTGAATATACAATGCTCAGCTGCTGGGGCAATGCTGGGATGACTTGGCTCATGTACCCACAGACGGCCTGAGTGCTCACTGCAGCACGAGTGCCACAGGTTCACCACCACTGGTTTAGGTCCAGGATCTTGGACATGAACCATCTCTTGAATGGCTCATTGCAGTGGGACTTGGATAGCTGGAGGGTAGGAAGCAAAGTAAGGCCAGGTAAGAGCTTGGAGAAGGAGGAGGCGGAGTTTAGTAATGAGACCAGGTCACTGTCAGCCAATGGGATTTCTCTCTTCACCCACCAGTGGCCAGGTACCGTGTGACTGTGTGCACAGGGGAACTTGAAGGTGCAGAAACTGATGCCAACGTCTATCTCTGCCTTTATGGTGACGTGGGGGATACAGGGGAGCGGCTGCTCTACAACTGCAGGAATAACACTGACCTGTTTGAGAAGGGCAATGTAAGTTCCACCAATGTGCCACTCCCCCAACCCCCCTTCCTTGGTTTTCATCTTTCTTGCTCTTATGAAGTATAGCTGATGGCTGGTAATGGAGCCTTAGTCAGGGAATAACCTCTTTCTGGGAGAGAGGAGTAAAGGTCTGGGGAATCCTGACAGGAACCACTGGAAGGACATAGCAGTGGTGCTTGTTTATTTGGTCTCTGAACATTTAATCCACTCTGACTCAACAATATGCGTGGTACCTACCACAGCTCCTAGAACCATGCAGCTAAGAGTGGGGAGCCATTCTAAGGGGTCATAGTCTCCTCCCAACCTCAAGCTTTGAGAAGAGGGGAAAGAGGATCAACACCTTTGGCACCTTAGGGTGGGTGGAGGGAGAAGAATGCTGGCATCTTAAATATGCACAGGAGCACTCAGTCTGGAGGAAAGCTAGGCACCTGAAATGGACGTAGGAACCCTGCGTTCTCTGCTAGGCATGACCACTGGGTGCATCTTGTTTCTATCCTTTTTGAGAGAGAAAATAAGAAATACAGAGGTGGAGGGATAGGGTTCTGCTGCTAGTCTCATTGCAAATATGCAGGGTGTTCCCTTCTGTTACCCCAACTGCAAATGGGTTTCCTGAGGAGAACCTGTGGAACGATGGCCCAGCTCTGGGGCAAAACCAGTCTTGGGTCAATCACTCCATCCCCTTGTGCTTCATTTTCCTCATGTCTAAAATGGAGGAAAGAATACCTGCCGGTAGCTTGCCAGTATGGGAATTATGGGTGGCAGATGTACAGCTCACAGGCAGTATACAGTACATGCTCAGTAGAAGGTCACTGTGCCGAGGGGTGAAGCTCTCAGATGAAGGATATTTGCAGATGTCTTTGATCTGCCTCTTTCCTCTGCCATCCATTTCTTGGTGAGGGCAGATTTGACCCCGGAATGTCAATAGAGGCATCTCTCTGAGGCCAGCCTAAGCTACCCTGGTTCTTAGATCATGGGCATTTGAAAGTTATAGGGCAAAGATAATCTGAGTAGGATGCTGTGGTGGGCCCCAATGCATTTGCGGAGAGAAGGTGAGGCTACCTTTACCTCACATGCCTTCGTGTATTTCTTCTCCTTCCTGCCCACCCACCTACCCATTCACCTTTTTCTCCACCCTTTCCCACTCTTCCTGCTACATCCTTTGACATCTTTGTCCATCACTCCCACCTCTGGTGCTTCTCCTCATGGAGGCTTCCAGGCACACATGTACACTTGAAACTCTCCAGCCCCTACTGAGTTTTTGCTATCTCAGTGGTGGGCAAAACTGCAGAGTTAGCAAGACCATCTGTCTCCCCCAACCAATTCTAATGATTCCTCTCTTCAGAAGGGGACCAGTGTTCCTCTGTATAGCAAAGGGGTAGAGAAATTAGCCAAGGGGTTATTTCATGTAAGTGGTTAGTGACAACAGTTTGACATGCTCATACTCCCATGAGAAGCTGCCTTTTAAACAGAGGTCACAGAGAATGGCAGCATTTAACCAAAACATACAAATACCAGTTGTTGAGATCCTGACATTGAATGACATTCCAGCAGGAGAAACTGGGAGCAAATTAAAATCTGCTCTCTATTGGTGGCCCTGTCCCACCTGTGAAAGACCAGTAGCTCAGTGGGTCAGCTCAGGCCTTTCTGATTTCTGGGTGTATGTCTTCCCTTGGTCTTGGGTTCTGGGGTTGCTGCCACCAGCTGACCCTGCTGCCTTTCCCTCCCTGAAGGCAGATGAGTTCACCATCGAGTGTGTCACCCTGAGGAAGGTGCGGCGGGTGAGGATCAGACACGATGGCAAAGGCTCACGCAGTGGCTGGTACCTGGACCGGGTGCTAGTGAGAGAGGAGGGACAGCCAGAGAGTGACAACGTGGAGTTCCCGTGTCTCAGGTACGAGAGTCCTGCTTGCTTTCACTTCCTCCAGATTAGGACATAGTGCCTGATTTTGAGGGAGATTCATTCACTCCTACTACCAGGAACAATGAGTAAAACAGTGGCTTAAGGCTGTAGTTGGTGCAAGGAAAGGTTGGCTTTGCTGGTGGCGCCAACCTCGAGCCTTGCATTCTCTCCCCATCTCCCAAGTGTATTTGTAGCTCCCTCTATTTGAGTACCAAAATGCTGATATTTTCCCAGATAAAATTTGACAGTTTCTGAATTAAAACAAGAGCCACCTCAGAGAATGTTAGTTACATGCTGAATTAAACTTTTGAATTAAAGGTGTTTTATTTCAGTAACCTTCTGATACATCTTTTCAAAGTATCTTACTTTGCATTTTTCTTCCCCAGCTTGTGGGTGAGGTAAAGCTTTTTTTCTATGAAGCATTTGGATTTGTTACTCAGCCAGCCTGGCCTTCCATGGGCTTCTAGAAGTCCCTGACAGAGGCATTTTAGAACTAGGAGGATTATCAGTGTTTCTGTGCCATCAAACTGGTCCTTACTGTCACCTGTGGCAGTGCCCAGGAAATGGACACAGAATGATTGACTGGGGTCTGAGCTGTAACTTTAACTCCCCTATGGAGGAGCACAAAGCAGACTTTCTCTCTTTCTCTTCCAGGATCAGAAAGCATTTCAGCTATGGCAGGTGTGTGTGTGCGAGCATGTGTGTGTGTGTGTGTGTGTGTGTGTGTGTGTGTGTGTGTGTGTACACTCCTGTGCACCCAGGGAAAGAGTAATGAAGTCACAGCAGACTGACTTATCCATTTAGCAACATCTCCCTGTGAAACCAGGCTAGAGCATTTGAAGATTTTTGGGGCAATATCTATTAATACCCTGCAATATTTAGGCGGAAATGAACAGACAAGTCATGGTTTCCTCTTACTGCTGGGTAGGGGCTGGAGCTGGGTGAATGGAAGAGGCAAGAAGGGAAAGCAGGATTTCTGGTAGCTGAGGGCCTGCTGCCCTTCCATTCCTCCCTCCCTGCTAATTTGTGGCTGTGGCTAGACCCCAGTCTTCTCCTCCACATGCTCTGTGACTTGGAGGTGTGAGGGAATCCTCAGCAGGACAGACAGAGGGGAGGCGCCCAGTGGGTGGACTTGGGGGACTCTAACTAGCAGTCTTCTGTTCCCAAATCCCCTGTCATGGATGTTCAGGATTCCACCATGTGTCTTCATGTCTCAGAGACTCAACATTTCTCTAGTGTTCTGGGTTCCTAGCACCAAAGCCCACAGAAGGCCACAAATGAGTGGTTGGCTAGCGTTTCAATGGCAGCTATCAGCCACTGACAGGAAGGCCCTATGGGAATGTAAGACCATGTGATTGAGAAAGGGATGGGGCAGGCTGTGATGCTGCCTCCCTGGGCCCTGGGAAAGAGTCCTAGGTGAATTCAGAGGCCTGAGCTGCAAGTCAGGATGAACAGGAAGAAAGCAACACCTTGGATTCCTTCGTGGCTGGATGGCCTGGGGAACTGCCTCCCTCTTGGCAATATAGTAAGGATAGCTGCAAAGGCAAGCACTAAGACATCAATCAGAGCGATTTTTTGATCAAGAGGTAAATGTCTTTGCTTCTTCCATACCTGGAGAACACTGAAGCCATCTGTTATGCTGTCATTTGTCCCAGTCATAAGCCAGCCTGAGTATGGGGTTTAGATATGTGTGCTGGCATGACGGTCTCATTTCTCAGGTGGGGCCTTTACGCTCAGTGGGAAAGGTGCTTTTCAGGTGACTAGCACACTGTTTTTCCTCTGGGAATGACCAGCAGAGAGCCAAGCAGCAGCTCACTGTGACATATCATGTGTCACAGCTAACAAACCCGGCTCTGCAGCACACAGAGCTAGCTTATTCAAGGCAAATCTTACTCATCTTTGAGGACTTGCGTCCAAGACCCTTCATTGAGGGCCCTTCTTCTTTCCCTAAATCCCTTGAGCACTTACTCTGGTCCAGCCCTATCCTTGTCTTGGTCCTCAGTGCATCATTCAGCCTGCCCTGTCTTCTTAGCCAGACAGTAGGCTCCAAACATCCTGAGCTATGTCTTATTTATCTCAGTGTCTTCTCTGCCTTACCCCAGCCAGAGCCCTCGGCCCAGTGCCATCCACATGGAGGCGTTTAGAAAAAAAGTTGGTGGTTTCTAATAATAATGATGGCTTTTTACCATGATCACCAAGGCCCAACATCCTATAGCCTGTCTACGTCCAGCCTCATCTGCCAGTACCTCGTCCCTCCCTCATTGCGTTCAACCTACGTGGGCTTTCTGTCTGCTCCTGGACTTGTTCCCTCTGGGATGCTCCTCCCCTCTCTCTTGGTCATCCCTTGTCACCCTTCCAGCCTCAGCCAGCTCTCATCTGCTCCTGGAAGTCCTTCCCCAAGCTGGGCTAGACTGCTTTGCTAGGAGCTCTCATAGACCTATTTTCCTTGCTGAAGTCAGAATTGTGGGCACCCTAGCAACTCTTATGAACGGTGTGAGTGTTTGGAGTGCGCTGCCCCACCCAAACACTTAGCACTTGCCTGTTTGCTCACCAGGTGGCTGGACAAGGACAAGGATGATGGGCAGCTGGTCCGAGAGCTGCTGCCCAGTGACAGCAACGCTACACTGAAGAGTGAGTTGTCCTGACAACCAGGTGGTGGGACACGTGGCTTCCTTTCCTTAAATTGAAGCAAGCCCTTCAAAAGAACATGTACTCTTTACTTCATTTCATGGAGAGAACATTGGGAGGTAGAGATGGGAGGCCCTCAGGGAGGGTCTGGATATTTCTTTTGTACCCTGTGTGACCACGTGTGAGGCCCTGAATGCATATGGTCAACAGACTAATAAAAACAATACCTTCAGCTAATGGTGCCAAGCATAGGTGGGACCTACATTCCCTTGTGAGGAGAAACACATTTTCAGAGACTGTAAAATGGGAAGACTTTTAAAATGTTGAATAGTATACCAGAGGCCTCATAGTTTTACTTTACTGGTAATATTTCTTTAAGTCCATAGACCGTTGAGCTTCAGAAAAAATTTAATAGAAACATATCTCTAGAATCCCAACAACATCAGCACCTCATGTTTACAATTTCTATCTCAGTTAAGCCCTGTAACATCCTAGAAGTGAGCCAGAGCTGACATCATGCATTTGTCTGGTGGGGACGCTGAGGTCTGGAGGAGCTAGATATTTATATTTGAACTTTCCAAGGGTCAGATTCCAGAGGCACACTAGTGTTCAGTGTCTGGGCTCAGAATTAGCAAAGTTAAGAGCTGAGAAAGACCTCAGGAAAGGACGTGACCCATGCCTATGGTCAGGGACACCCCACCTACACACCTGGTTCCTGCAGTGCTGGAGCCATGACCCAAGATATCTCTATCTTCTGTCACTGCTCTTCCCACTCTCCCTGCTCCTGACTCACCAAGTGGACAGAGCTCCAAGGCCTTGCTTTCCCAGTTAGAGCTTTGGAAAGGGTTTGGATGCAAACTGGTATAAGAAAGAGGCTTTCTAGTTCCTGCTACATCTTTTAGCAACAAGGACAGAGCCATTTGCACAAGTGCCTTCAGATATCCCTGGTGGAGCTGATCTGGCCCAGGTGTGGGTTATTTGCAGGGCTGGCCCCAGGCAAAGTGTACTCAGCTCACTTTCTCCACACTTTCCCCAGACAGAAGACCCTAAGGTGGCAGTGAGTGCCGGGCCTTGAAGTTAGCATCACTTTCCCCTCAGTGCTTCCTCTTCTTTCCCTAAGACATGCCCTGGAACAAGTGTGGAGGACTTTGCATCTTGGTTTATGTTATCTCTGGCTTGTCTTTCCCTTGGGTGTTTTTATCCTGGCATACAGGCAACACAGACTTTCTGAAGTGATAAAGTAGAGTGACATCCACATGGTGGCCAGTTAAGAGCAGAGGACTTTAAGCCCATGTCAGGATTCCACTTCTCACTGGTGACTTCTTAACTGTCACCATATTGTGCCAAACACACGATCTTCTGAGTCTGAGTCTCAGATTCCTTGCTTATAAGATCAAAATATTTAGCAGTAATACTGTGCACATCCTGTGCTAAACACAGTCTAGACAGACTGATGAGCCCTTTGCCTCAGTTTCCTTATCCATCAAAGGAGAAGCTGGACGGGTAATTGCTGCAGGTCCTTTCATTCTCTGAAATATTGGCATTCTTGCCTGCAGCTTACAGTTTGCTTTCCCATTCTAGGCAGATTCTCTACATATATCCACATATGTGTTCTGGAGCAGGCAGGGCACCTGTTAGAATTCTGGCTTGGGTGAGAGGACTCCAGAAAGTTGGAGGGATACCCTCCCCCAAGTCACAGGGCCTGGGTTTCTGACTTCAGCCTTTGTCTTGCCTGGCTGCAGACTGCCCTCCTGCTCCGGGCACCTGCTCCTTCCCTCTGGACCTGCACTAACCTCCTTCCTCTCCTTCTGCCTTGGACTGTTCAGACTTCCGCTATCATATCAGTGTGAAGACTTCGGATATTCCTGGGGCCAGCACGGATTCTCGGGTCTACCTTAAGCTCTATGGGGATAAATCCGACACCATCAAGCAAATTCTTCTTGTCTCTGACAACAACCTCAAGGACTATTTTGAATGTGGCCGGGTGGATGAGTTCACCCTTGAGACCCTGAACATTGGAACTGTGAGTGTCCTTCCCGTAGTCATGTGAAATGATCTTACCCATTCATCTACATACATCCACATATGTGTCCACCGCACGTGGACACTCACACATTCAAGTAGTCATGGGTGAGCCCATTTTGAAGAGAAAAAAATGCCTACTTGGGGGCTGTTAGTGAGGTATGTTGTTTTCCAGCTATGATCTACACCAACTGGAGATAATATGAACAGTGCTAACCTCCCAGAGCCACTTTGAGGACGAGATGAGTATTTTTAGTAGTTTTATCCAAAAAATGTTACTTACATGGCCAGAACCAGTGTACCTGGGTCATAGACACTGAAGAAAGGGATATCAGATACAAGAAAGACTGAAAAGTAGGACTAAAAATATTCCCCAACTCCATACCCAAGTGTGCATCAGAATTATGTTCCATGCACACATTGGGCATCCTTGGGAAATGCTGCTTTAGGGTACGGGATCCAGGAGTCTACATCTTTCAAAGTTCTGGGTGGCCCTGACATAAATGGCCTGAACATTTCTTCACAGATAAAACTGGCCATTTAAAGTGGTGAGACTGACTTCAATAGTATATTGCTGTGACAGGGAAAAGAGGCCCACACAAACTAACTCAACTTTGATTTGCACGGATTTCTATGTATTTTGAAGGGAGAACGAGGGACCAGGAGCAGGGTAAATAGGGGCTCAGTGTATCCAGGAAAGTAGAAAAATCATAAGAAATGGTAAGGGGTAGGTGGGGCCCTGGGAAACTCATCTGGTTTGCTAACCTGCACCTCTCAGAGCTAGGTTCATTCTTGTCCAGAGCCTGGAAACAGGGGCTATCCTCTGGTGTTGGCTGGAATCAATACTATATTCTTTTGACAGCCTGGGATTTTCTCATACAGGCACTGAAAGGAGGTTAGGATCATCCTAGGGGTGTGGCCTTGAGCTGTTAGAATTATGCTGGTGTTTTGTTTAAGTCTTTATAGGCCAAGGTTGAAGCTTAGTCAAGCAAGCTCTCCAGAGCCTGGCTAGGGCTTGGTCAAGGTGAGACTCTTGACTTTAATGGGGAAACACAGGTATAAACCCAGGACTTGAACTCTGAGACATCTCTGAGAAATGTCTGTGCTGGGTTGAGGATGTTCCATGGTGGAGATTGAGGAGGTTGGAGCCCCTCTGTCTGCAACATCATCTCTCCTCTCTGGAGCCCCATTTTATTTCAGGTGCTTTGTGTCCTGGAACTCTCTCCTCCCATCAACAGGCACTCTGGGCAACAACCTCGTGTCAGGCACTTATCCCTTGAGGCTAATGAACTTCAATCCAGGTTTTCCTTGATCAAATGTATTTACATTTTAGCTGAAGCAATAATTGCAGAGTAAACATGCTGTTCCCTTTACAGGATTGAAGGATTGAAGACAGCAGTTCAATGACACATCTGAGGGGAGGCCATGGCAGTGGGAGAGGGGATAGGTAGGACTTGTACCACTAAAATCCCCTCAACCAGCAGTATGGGAAACAGATCACACTGGGAACAGCAATCTAACGGCCAACTGCCTGCTCTGGGGCCCAACATTGCCATTTACTTGCCAGGCACATATTCCTTAGCCTTTTTTGTGTCAGTCTTCCTGTTTAGGACAACAGGGAGTCCTAATGGGATTATTAGCAATGAATGTATTAATAACACTTGCAAGCATGTAGTAAGTGTCTACGTTACTGAACAATTCCTCTAACTTAGGTGCCCGGTGTGGTGGAACCAAATGACAGTCCCTGCCTTAAGGAGCTTCCAGTCATATCAGATGCAGACACTTGCCCTGTCTTTACTCTTTCAGCCCATTTCTCTTTGGGACCTTCATAGTCTCAGCACCACAGAAAAACAAGGAAACTCTCCCATGTCTCTTGGCATCCACCCAAAGGGCTCTTGGTTTCCTTCCAATACTTTTGGGGGACCGGGTTCTATGCCCTTGTCTGTGATGGTCCCTCAGCTGCCTGATGATCTTGCCTGGAAGCCAGCCTCTCCTGTGCCGCTTCCTCTTCTGAAGAACTGGAAGCCCTGGTTTCAGGGAGCTATTTGTTCCCGTGCCTAGGGAGGTGGGGAATGAGGCTTAGAAGTTTCTGAACACTGCTTCTTGGGCACTTTCATTGGAATTCTCTTCCAGATCAACCGGCTGATGATTGGGCATGACAGCACGGGCCTGCATGCAAGCTGGTTCCTGGGCAGTGTCCAGATTCGAGTGCCCCGCCAAGGCAAACAGTACACCTTCCCTGCAAACCGCTGGCTGGACAAGAACCAGGCTGATGGGCGCCTGGAGGTGGAGCTCTACCCCAGCGAGGTTGTGGAGATCCAGAAATGTATGGAGAAGGCCGGGTAGAAACATGCGCAAATAGAGCTGGGGGTGATGGGGTGGGGGTGGGGACTATGGAGCAAATGGGTCTTTCTCCAAGTGATAGGGAGAGGGAGGGCTGTGAGGAACTAATGGGAGCCTTCAAGTGTTTCTTGTACCATGTTTCTGGAAGGTAGCTGGGGCTCATTTTACAGATGTGAAGACTGTTTGGAACTTTTATTCTGGAATAAAGGCAGCAAATGATATTATTAAGAAATGCAGGGCCGGGGATTTAGCTTAGTGGTTCCACCGCCTGCCTCGCAAGCACAAGGTCCCAAGTTCGATCCCCGGTACCAAAAAAAAAGAAAAAAAAAAAGAAATGCATAGTTTGAACTCTATAGAGAGGAGTTTAAAGTATAGTCCCTGTCTTCCCTTGGAAAGACTAGCTGGAAAGATAAAACATTTTGTTCATTTATTCATTAAACATCTATTGTGATGTCTCTGTGCCAGCCCCATTCTGGGCTCTGTGGAGACATCTGTGCGCAAGAGACAAAGCCCTCCCGTAGTTGCAGTGAGAAGTCTGATGCCAATCTGCTATCTGACTCTGTTTTTTTCCACTCTCTAAATCCACTCTAAGCTCATCTTTATTTCTGACACTCTGAAATTGTCAGAGTGCTTTTTGTGATTTTACTTCTATCCATTGTTCTGGAAACTCATGGGAATCCTCAGTCTTGAAGTATTTTTGCTTTTTGAGTTTCCATGTTGTGTGTCCAACAATTTCCAATTTTATTTCCTCTGTTGTTTCTAGTACTGAACTCTTGTTTGGATATTAAATTTCCTCTGACTTCTTACTTTTTCTCTGTCATTTGACTTTTTGTCCTTGAGGAATTTGCTTTCTGCTTTTAGGAAATGTCCTTGACTTTATCCTTGCTGTTGAATATTTTATTTCAGGCTGCCATATTTTGATTGCTAACAACTTAGTATCATTTTCTAAATGCTCATGATTCCCCTTCCTCATTGTTTATGATGGTGACAGTCTGTGGTGGCAAGAACTGAGGGAGGAAAGGGAGTCAGAGCTCCCTCAGTGAGGGTTGCCGGCTTTCACAGAGTGCCTGGCTGTCCATTCACCCTCGCACCTGCTCTTAGCTGAATCTAGTATCTCTAGTTCAGCCTCTTCAGGCTCTCAGCCAGTCCTCTTCAGTTCCCAAGTCTTCCATTGCCATGGTAATAAAGATTGTCTTATTGAAAATAACACTCTTTACTTGACAAGAAATCATGATGTTGTCTTATAACACTGTCCAGAGGGCCAGCCCTATCACAGTCACACTGACAGACAGTGTGGTGCCATAGTCCTTCTGGGAGACACTTTGCACTCCATCAGGACTTACCCTCTACCAGCGCGTGTCTGTAACTCATTTCTACCCTCCATCACCTTGATAAGTGGTACTAGTTTAAAGGTGAGGGGATGAGAAAGAGGGAGCCAAACTCACTCTTTCATAATGGCACCAATCCCACCCTCATGACTTCATCAAATCTCAAAGGCTCCAGCTCCTACAATAGCAGTTAAATTTCAGAATGAGTTTTGCAGGGGACAAACATTTAAACCACAGCAGGTAGATAGAAAACAGGGAATGTCCTCTCTTACAGTGAGTCCTCCTTATTCCTATCCAGGGACACATGGATGGCCAGACTGATGGCAGAGGTTTGCCATATTCTTTACCTACACAGTTCCCCTAAGTTTCTCTTTTCCATCTGTAAAATGGAAATGATTATACTTACTCAGATGTTGGGGAGAAGGTTATATAAGATGATGACCAAGAAGCACCAGGCATGTGGGAGAGGCTCTGAAAATGTTTGTTTTGTTACTGTAGTTGTTGTTATTATTACTAAATGTCCCATTTCTCCCACATGTGCCCACCCAGTGGTCCACTATGAGACTGAGATTTGGACAGGGGATGTGGGTGGTGCAGGCACCACTGCCAGAGTCTACATGCAGATCTATGGTGAGAAAGGCAAGACTGAAGTGTTCTTCCTCTCCAGCCGCGCAAAAGTGTTTGATCGGGCATCCAAGGATGTGTTCCAGGTGTGTGGGGGCAAGACAGCAGGGTGCCAGCAGCGAGCCCAGAGGCCACCAGGATGGTTCCCTGGGTGTTCTTATTTCCTCAGCTAACACTCATGGGAGAATGGACTGCCCCTCCAGCCAATTGAGGACTAGTTGGACAAGGATTCTCTTGGCTTCCTGAAAGTTCCTGGGCACAGCTAACCTGGGTGTAGAGTTTTTTAACTGGGATTGAATACCTGGTGTTTTGGCCAATTTCTACCTTGTAAACTTGGACAGTAATATCCTCTCACTGTTCCTGAGTTTTGGGCTTGAAATGAGGGTATTGGGTTATATCAAGGGTTCTCATTCTTGGCCTCATGTTCAAGTCACCTGGGAACTTTAAGAAAAGGTACTGCTTAGCCCACACCTCTACCAGTTAAATCGGAGTCTCTGGAGGTGGGATGCATTTTCTGGCATGTCTTTCATTTAAAGTTTACCAGTGATACTAACATGTTTCCAATTCTGAGATTTATGGAATAGGTGATTCTCATTTAACCCAAGATGTCATAAGGGATGGGGTCCCTCCACTTACTCCCCAGTTTGTGACTCCAATGCCAGGGTCATGCTTCTCAGGCAGAACCTGGGAGATGGTGGAGTTTCATGCCATGTTCGGAGTGTTCCAGGCCTCTTCATTTACTTTTGTAAAACTCTTTATGAAAGGAAAAATGATGTGCATGTGAGCATGTTGTTGACAGTATAAGACAAAGTAAGGGGAGTGGCCCTTGAGTGGTACATGAATATTTTATGTTGTACCTGATAGCGTCTGTGTGTGCATGCACATGTGTGTGCATCCGTGTGTGTGGAGGGAGCATGTTCATGCTGGGTGCTCTATGTGTGTTCATATGCCACAGGCATGTTGGCCTTCAGCAAACAGTCCTTACCCCATCCCCAAAGGGAAGGTCTTGGTTGACTTGGGACCAGGCCAGGCTCACAGGTGTTTCATTGAGCTGGAGGTGCCTCATTGAGATCCTCATACACTGCTGAGAAGGCTAAGGCCCATGTATTTGACTTCCTGAGCTTCAGTTAAAATCTAACTTTGTAGTACCTGCTTGGCTTGCTTGACCATCCTTATAATAATCAAAAGAGTCAATGTCAGGGAATGTTATGGAGTTGCGACCCAGCAGTGTACCTTTCAGAGGCCAGCTCACTGGGTGTGGTGGATGCAGGTTCAGCTAGGCAAACAGATGCAAAGATGTGGCATGACAAGCAGGTCTCTTTGAGGAATGTGGTCATGGGGGTGCCATGACCCAGGAAACATGGGGGAGGAGAGCTAATGGGCTGAAGAAATGACTTACCAGGCCCAGTGCCCATACCCCAAGTAACTGAAGATAAATTCTGCTTTTTCTGGACCCTGGGCTCTATCTGGACTGGGGAATTTTCTCACAAAACTGGCTTGGCCACACTGTGGATTCATAGACTTGAGGTCAGGAGACCTGTATTCTTGTCTAGGTCTGGAACTGAATTATGGGACACTGAGTAACTAGGGAACAGACTTGAGCTCTAGTTTCCCTGGAACTCAGTAGGGATAACTTGTCAGACCAGGTTTTAAGAAGGGTCAAATACACAACCAGCAGCAGCATCAGAGTGCTTAAGAGGAGCCCCACTAGAAAGGACCTCATGAGAACTTGCCCCCGGAGGTGTGCAAGGACCAGAGTTCATCTGAGTGCAGGTGCTTCCTGTAGTGTGGCATTCAGGACAGAGTAACAATGTGATCTGAGGCTGAGGACCCATCCATACTGCCCTCCGACCAGTAGGGAGAGTCACAAAATGGTGTTTCTCTTAAGAAACTCACAGCTTGATAGGACAAAGAGGACATCCAGGGTAGGCCAGGACTGGAGCCAAGTTCTGGGACCCTCCTGAACAAGGAGGGAGGAGACAGGCAGATAAACAGGCTATGTGCTTGGAAAGGATCCGGGGTTTCTAAGGTCACAGGTAAGATTTTTTTTTAAAAAAAAGAACACTTATTTTTTGGCTTGTCACAAAGGTTGTATATGTTTAATACTGAAAAAATTTGGAGAACACAGAAAAGCACAAAGTTTTAAAATTAAAGTAATAATAAAGTAGAGGACTGAATGAACAGTTTGTTTAGAGGTGAGGGAATAAAGGCAGGCAGGTGAGGGAACTATGTAAGCAAAGACATGGAATTAGGAATCCTAGGAATGAGTGCTGTGTGTGTGTGTGTGTGTGTGTGTGTGTGTGTGTGTATGTGCATGCACATGTGCTCATGCACACATGATCGAAAGGAAGACAGAAACAGGGAGACCAGCTTGACCACCACAGCAGTTAGAAGGAATTAAGTTTGGGGGCCAGGCCAGGCTAAGGAGCAAGGCTGGGTGTGGTTGGAGAGAGAGGGGTTGCTTCTAAGAGCAAAAGTTTCAGTCTCTGCTGCAGCCCAGCACCCAGGCCCTGGGCCTGGCTATGTTGGGGAGGCAGGGAGGACACCAAGGGCGACCCCAACCACTTCCCTGCTTTGCTCAGCTGGAGGCGGCAGACGTGGGCGAAATCTACAAGATCCGTCTGGGGCACACAGGTGAGGGCTTTGGGCCCAGCTGGTTTGTGGACATGGTGTGGCTGCGGCACCTGGTGGTGCAGGAAAAGGACCTGACGCCCGAGGAAGAGGCTCAGAGGAAGAAGGAAAAGGACAAGCTCCAGCAGCTGCTCAAGAAGGAGCAGCTGAAGGCCAAGCTGCAGAGGAAAAAGAAGAAGAAGAAGGGCAGTGATGAGGAGGATGAGGGTGAGGAAGAAGAGTCCTCATCAGAGGAGTCCTCATCTGAAGAGGAGGAAGAGGAAGAGACTGAGGAGGAGGAGGAAGAGGAGGAGTTTGGGCCAGGCATGCAGGAGGCGATTGAGCAGTACAAGTTTGAAGTCCATCGCTGGCTGGCCCGAGGCAAGGAGGACAATGAGCTTGTGGTGGAGCTGGTGCCAGCAGGCCGGCCGGGTCCTGAGCGTAAGCCTTCGGGGCCATACATCCTCTAAAGGGACCAGGGAGGGGTCAAGGGTAACTCCATTTCCTTCACATGAAGGCCACAGAGGTGGGAACCCATCATGGTTCCCAAAGAGCTCTCCTGATCGGCATCTGAAAAGCCACCACAGACAGTTCTGTTTGGGGCTAAGCATTGCCCTTGTCCCAGGGATCTCAGGAGAAGTCAATGACAGTGGGAGGAGCTCTGTAACAACTGGATATAACTAAATGTGGGGGTCATAAGGTTGGAGGGTTGTGAGGCCAAATGTTGCTCTTGGTCTCATGTTCAAGGGAAGTCTTGGGTTGGGGGCAGGCAAGTTCAGACAAGTTTAGTGTAGATATATGGTAGATCCTTCCTACTGTGAAAATCTGCATGAAACTGTGAGGCTGGGCTTCAGCCCACCTCATAGCCCTGTGTCCTCAATCCTGCATCTTTCTTTGCCTCTAGCCAACACCTATGAGGTCCAGGTGATCACAGGGAATGTGCCCAAGGCTGGCACTGATGCCAACGTCTATCTGACAATCTACGGTGAGGAGTATGGAGACACAGGCGAGCGGCCCCTGAAGAAGTCGGACAAGTCCAACAAGTTTGAGCAGGGGCAGGTAGAGTGAGGGCTCTCTGGCCTCTGGGTCTGGTGGGGGGGCTCAGATATAGGGCATGGTGCCCCCTGATGACAGCTCCTCCAGCATGATATCTGCTGTGCTTCTGGCAGGGTGCTTCCCTCAGTCCAACGTAGTTTGATGGCAGTGTCTCTTCTGTAAGCACTAATGCTTTGGGGAAGGGCGAAAAAAGTACAGGCAGGGTTCCAATGCATGGAGCTCATAGGCTAGCTGATCCTTGGGAACAACTAGAGAGTAGTATGCAGCATCAGGTTCTCAGATGCTGAGTAGGCTCACTGTTTAACATGGTGCTGTGGGGACGACTAGGTGGGCAATGTATAAAGATGACAGTAAAGGATATTTGCAGAAAATAGGACTGCAGAAGCAAAGATGTGGAGGGTCAGTGTGAGAACAGTGTGTTTCTCCCTGAGCAGTGGTTGGTGACTTACAGTGGATAAGCTTGGATAAGACCAATAGTACATGCATGTGAGACAGGCTAAGAAGTCTGAACTACACCCTGAGGCAGTAGGAAGCTGTGAAATAAATGCATGTACCTCTCTCTACAAGCATAGGGAAAAGCATGAAAAATAAAGCTGCTATTTTTCTCTTTTAAGATTTTGCATATCCTGAAACCAGACTCTCTCTTCAACCTAGAGGAAGAAAAGCAATGAACCAAATCCATTAAAATACTTATAGGCAGATTATTTGTTTTGTACTCCCCCCCTCAAGTTTTCTTTCAACACTTCTTCTTATGACTTGGGATCAGGGTTTATGTCTGCATTTCTTTGCTCTCCATGAAAAACAATAGCCACTTTATCCCTGGGATGGGGCAATATCGTTTTAAAGGACAAAACTGATATAATTGGTAAAATTTGAATATGGACTTTATATTAGGTAATAGTACAGTCACATGTTGTGTAACAGCAATTGGCATATATCACAGTAATCCCATAAGACTATACCACCTAGTGACATTGTAGCCATCTTGGTTTGTGTAAGTATACTATATGATGTTTGCATAATGACAAACATCATCTAGCAGCATATTTATTAGAACATATCCATGTCATTATATGATAAATGCCTGTGTTTTGTTGATGTTGACTGTGTTGTGTTGACGTTCAGAATGTTAAGTTTCTTGAATTTGATCATTGCTCTGGGATTATATGAGTGTCCTTGTTCTTTGCAATTCCACGCTGAAATATTTAGGGGTGAAAGATCATGGTATCTGCACTTATTTTCAGTCGATTCAGAAAAAAATAAGGAGGAAAGGAGTGGAGAGGTGAGGAGAGGGAAGAGAGAAGAGAGAGTAGCATAGCAAATATTCAAAATGTAGATGAAGGTGTGAAAACTTTCATTGTACTATTTGTACATACTTTTTCTGAAGATTTGAAATTTTTTTCAAAATAAAGAGTCAAAAATCTATAGCCAAGAAAATGCCATTCATCTGTGGGGTCCCAATGTGGTCTGCTTCCTCCAGTGCAAATGGAGGCTCACATACATGTGTGTGGTTCACACCCACCCTCCCACCTACGTGGGCAGCAAGTCCAAGTCTTCTGTTTCTCTTAATCACTTTGAATTTGCACAGGACTGGCTCATAGTAAGTGCTTAATAGAAATTTATGGTTGAAGGAGATGATATACAAGTTCACACACAAGCCCAAGGTCTCAGTGCACCCTGTGCCCAACATGCACGCGTGCATGCGCACGCGCACACACACACACACACACACACACACACACCCCCCACAACTGCAGACTGTCCTTTGCCTCTCTCTCTCTCTCTACCTTCCTGGAAACAGTGAGGGTGAGACGATCCCTTGGGAGGGATAGGTTGAAAAAACAATAGCACAGAACAAACACCAGACTAATGAACTACATGGTCCATCCTCCCCACTCCTGGTTGTTTTCGATCTTATTGTCCACCTCTGGAAGGTGGAGCTGATGGCAAGGGAAGGAGGGGTTGGTCTTAGCCCTATGAGTGCTACTCTCCTCCTTCCTAGACAGACACCTTCACCATCTATGCCATTGACCTGGGGGCTCTGACCAAGATACGGATTCGGCATGACAACGCAGGCAACAGACCAGGGTGGTTCCTGGACAGAATAGACATCACTGACATGAACAGTGAGACCACGTGAGTGAGGCTGGGGTGGGGGGAGGGGGCCTTACCTGCCACTAAGATTGTCCTAGAGAGAGGACTGAGGGTGGGTGATGGAGGCCTGAGGACGAGGGTAGGTTGGCTGTGATACCTACAAACCCAAGATGGGTTTGACTCATGTAGTAGGCTGAGCAGACACTGCCTATTCCCCTTCTCTATCATTGCACAGCCTTCCCAGGGCATCTCATCCTGTCAGATGACAGTCTGGTAGTACATCCACTCCAGGAGTGCCTGCTCACCCATTCCGAGAGGTCAGATCTTCAGTCCCTCATCGCTTCTCGGCCTTTTGGCTAAGATCAAGTGTAGATCTTCAGTCCCTGTCAGCCCTCTCCTGGCCTAGTCTCCATGTTCAGGCTTCACACACTCAGAGACTCTCCATGGAGAAAGCAACTTCCAGCACCTTGTTTTAAAGTTTTAGACCAGGGATCAGCAACCTTTCCCATAAAGGTTATATGCAAAATGTTTCTACCTTTTTTTTTCCTATTCGCCTCTCCTGTCAAGTCCCCCCCCCACCCTATATACAAAAGCTTTATTTCCATTTTTTCCTTCCATTTTCACTTTTTTTCTTTTCCCTTCCTTCCTTTCCCCCTCCCCCTCCTTTGTTGCCCTTCCCATTTTAACATTGTTTTCCCATTTCCCAATATCTATTATACATTTTAGTCCTTATTTCCACTTCCAGTTTCTCACACCAGAGAAACAATGTGGTATTTAAACATGTGTGTCCAATTTACTTCACTTAAGAGTATAGTCTCAAGGTGCATCCATTTAGCTATAACTGTCTCAAGCTCATCCTTCTTTATGGCAGAGTAGTGCTCCATTGTATTAAAAAATCACATCTCCTTTATCCATTTGCTAGTTGATGGGCATTTGGGCTATTTCCAAGATTTAGCTATTATAAATTGTGCTGCTATAAACAGGGGTGTGCATATATCGCTGTGGTATGATGCTGTTAATTCTCTCAGAAAAATAACAAGAAGAGGAATAGCTGGGTCAAATGGAACCTCTAGTTTTAGTTTTTTGAGGAATCTCCACACTGATTTCCATGGTGGTTGCACCAGTCTACACTCCCACCAACAGTGGAAAAGGATTCCCTTTTCCCCCACAGCCCCTCTGGCATTTGTTATTGATTGATTTCTTGATAGCAGGCATTCTTTCTGTAGTGAGATGGAATCTCAGTGTTGTTTTAATTTGTTTTTTTGTTTGGTTTTCTTCCCCTCCCCCCCATTAAGTTTATTGGTACATTTTTGGTATAAAGTACAGTTACATTCATCATTGGGATCTTGTACCATTACATGAGCATCTTGGTTCTTTTTTTTCCCCTTCCCTTGCCCTCCCTTCACCCCCCCTTCCCTATTTGCAAAGACTTTGTTTCCATTTTTTTCCTTTTCTCAAATTTTTTCTTTTCCCTTCTTTCCTTTCGCCTACCCCTCCCACTTCCCCTGCTCCTTTAGACATTTACTTCCTGTTACACAATATCAATTATACATTTTTTAAATTACAATATCAAGATCTAGGAGA